TCTTACAACCCGAGGACTGGATAATGGGGGAACCTTTGTTCCATAACCCATTAATAAGAACAAAGATTTTATCATCTTAATCTGTGGAAAGCTGTTTTGTAAAGGCTGGATATACCAAGTTGGGGGATCTAAGAAGTGGTGATGGTTGTAGAACAGCTGAGACAATGCAGTGTTACTGGGCTTCGATCTCTGCGCCTTCTGAGAAGAATAATGAAGGAGGTGTGGGCAGTTCTACCAGGTGCATGTAGAGAGGCACTGTCATTGGATTGGCATGGTGATTATAAATTTCCACCCATTAAAGTCTCTGCTGTTGTACAAGAAGAGAATGAGGATGCTGGACATTCAGTTTTATCATTTGAGTACCCCGAGTTGGGTCTTTTTCAGGATATTAAGAAGAAAAATCTGTATATAACATATGTAAAAGTGACTCATCAGACTGTGCTAAGAGGACTGAAGACTTGGAGGTGGTCAGATGTGTTTGGGACAAACTTTAAGACATGCTGGAGATCTTTGTATAAACTGCTGATTGAGAAGCACTGCAGACTTGCAGTGGAGATTGATGTATGGGGCTATAGCTACGAACAGACACGTGGCACACCTGAATCCAGCAGTGGGGAAAGAGTGTGTATTTTGTGGGATTGAAGAAACGGTGAATCATTTATTTATTGATTGTTAAAGGTTGAAGGGAGTTTTTAATTTTTTAACACAATGTTTCATAAAGTTTGGAGAAACCTTTTCTTATCAGAATTTTATAAGTGGTCCAAAATAAAATTTTCAGGATAGGAGGAAAAAATGTTTACTGAATTTTGTGTTGGGGTCAGCTAAGATGTCTCTTTGGAAAACTAGAAAAAATAAAATGTTGGGTATAGGTCTAATAAATACTGAGATGGTAAAAGGGATGATTACTGCTAGAATTAAGATAGAGTATACATATTATAAATTGGTAAATTATATTGCAGTGTTTTCTGAAATTTGGTCAGTGGGATGAGTTTTTTATAAAATTTAAGAAAATTAATTGTTGATTTTGAATTTGTAGAAATGTTCTTAAGGACATATAATTTATTGTTTGTTTATGTGAAAATGATTGTGTGATATTAAGATAGAAAGAAAAATGGTTTAATGAAGGTATTATTAAGTCTCTCTCTTTATCTCTCTCTCTCTCTCTCTCTCTCTCTCTCTCTCCCCCCCCCTTAGTAACTAGCATAACAACAACAAAAATATATTTCTCAATCCTTTTGGCATATTGTACAAAAGGCAGAATATTATGCATGTATAAACATCCTTTTTGTTGTTGCACAATTGCATTATTGATATTTTCTGACATTCACACAAGCCAGAAGAAACACCCATCAATACATCCATGTGTATGGAAGAGAATGGCCTCTGATTAGAGTGAGTTACTGAAAATGTATCTCCTAATACAGTATGTTAGCTGTATCATCGAACATCAGTTAGCTTCTATGAGGTTAGATTCTAGATTTTTTTATGTTTTCTTAAATATATCAAACTAAAATTAACTCTATAAAAGTTATGTTTTACCCTTATATTATCCAATATTTAAAAGGGTCATATGATGTTGCTAACTCTTTTGGAAGACCAAACAAAGTAGTTTCGCTTTCACAATGAAGCACACAGCGCCTTCACAACATGGCGGCAGCAACAATACTACAACGAGAATAAAGGTTACACCTTCTTTCTTTGCGTGAACATATGGGCTGCGTTATGCAAATCTTCCCACATTGTGACGTAGACATGTGGGGGCGTGTTAGAACACTTTAGTTAGGCGTGGTTGACTATTAACTTTTATAAAGAATATCTCTTTGGATTTGAGACTTAAGTCTTTGCAACTTTACAGATCTTCTTTATGCACCAAGAGCTTGTAACACTTCAAAGAGAAAGGAAAAATTGAAATCGCATCATATGACCCCTTTAATATTAGTATGCAACAATGGATCCAACAATGAATTTTAATTTCATCTTAATACTATAAATTACCATATGATTAATGTGGTACTAGACACACTTTTTAGAAACTTGCCTCACATCTATGCTTATAAGATGCCTAATATTACTTTTAAGGTAATTTACCATCAAGCCAGATTTTTTTACTGAAAAAAGTCTATAGTGGCAAAAAGAGTATAGTATATAAATGTTACAATATAAACTGCATATAGCTTGTTTGTCATCAGCTGTAAATCAGAAAGGCAGTTTTAAATCACTAAATTATAGACAATAAAAAGCAATCTAGATGTTAACATGTTACACACATACACTCCTCTAAAACATTAACTGTTATTTATTTTTTCTGTAAATACAGGCTCTGCTTATAAAAATAATGTATAAAAAAATTCATATTTTAGTCTAAATTTTTGTGCCCATTTCTCTGTTGCACTACAAACAACTACTGAAAGGGATGTTACTGACATGCACAATTGACAATGAAATTGTCACTTTTGCCATAATGGACCGGCCAAACAGAACTTGCACTTGGTGTAAGTGTTCATTTTGTGCCCTGGTTTGTGTTTTGGGAACACAAACATGTGTCTCACCTCTGTTTCTTCATTTTCTCTTTACTGGTAAACACTGCAAAGGGCAGGCTCATATGGCCAAAATTTCATCACAATATTTTTTTTCCATATTATGTAATATCGATCTTTATTACAATATTCATTTACCATTAATGGTGAAGGAAATGCTTTCCACATGTTTGTTAGGGCTTGAGAATGAATGTAAAGATACTTAGATTTCCCTTTTATTTTTTCATGGATTCTGTGTTTTATGATTTAATACAAATGTATCAATTTATTATTAAACATAATTAATTTACAATTAAACACTGCATTTTTTATTTATTTTTTGTAAAATAAGATGCTGCACAACATCACTGTGTAACTGTAAATTAATGAAAAAATACCTTGGTTGTATTGGATTCCTTAAAATATTATTATTACATTTTAGTAGGCCTACTGCAGTAACATATTTCTGTCATAATTTCTTTAAGTTAAACCAGACTTTTATTGTGACGGGTTGTCATGAAGGTCTTTCAGTTTTACTTTCACTTTCAGTGTGATTGTAATTTTTCTCAAATGAAACACCATTCATTTACACAGAGAGACACAGAACGGTCTATTAGTGACAATAATGATATGACAATAATGACAAACACTGACTGGCCGTTGATGCATTTATTTCTGCTGTTAGATGAATCCATATCGAGTAAAAATGTCCAGATCTTATCATCGTAATTGTAAATCATAAAACATTGTAATCGTAATCATAAAAAATAAATTTTATCATGACTCAAAATTATATTGTTTTATCGCCCAACCCCATGTGGGAAGAATTTTGATTCTTATGTTTCACACCACTCAGGTGGGGTCCAATCAAGAGGTTGCAGCAGGTCTTCAATACCTTTGTTTGACTTAATGCGGCGCTGTGCAGACCGAATGGCGTATGACATCAAAATACCGCAAGATTTGGTCTGCACAGCACTTGGGCGTTTTTATTTGGCAAGAGATTTACTTGGGCAGTGTGACAGTGTGAGACAGAGCCTGAAAGCAGATGTCTCACGTCAAACACGTGAGAGTTGGCAACCCTGGTTAAATCAGGTAGCGCCGTTTCTGTGTTTGTTTCCTATGCACTCCAGTAAAGCTGAAGTTATTGAAAGATACCTGCAACTCTAGTTTATACTAGATTAAAAAGTTTGTAGACAAACTTTAAGTTGGCTTGAAAAAAGCCTAGCTAGAAAGTTTTAAAAAGTTTTAAAAGCTTGCAGTCTGAAAATTTTCAGTTTTCAGTAGTTTGAAAGTTAAAATAGTTTTAAAGATTAAAGTTTGAATGTTTTCAAGGCAATACAGTCTATCAGAAAAACAGATAGGTATAAAACATATTGCTAGGGTACCTGGGGTGGTTGCTAGGCTGTTTCTAGTATGACTAGCATGTTGATAACATGTTTTAGCATGATTAGTCGTTTAACCCCTACCCCCTCATTGCTCGGGCCCTGGGGCTTCAGCCCCACCTAGCCTTTTTGTAATCCTGCCCTGACTATACTGACTTTCATATGTCACTATTTTAATGATTTTATAACAAGGATGTGACATCCTTGTGTAAACACTGAATGTTTTATGTAAATTTTCCTGCAGGGATGTTTGCTTTAAATGATATCTTAGTTATGAAGTCTCACTGCTGCAGTCAGCCATGAATAGCATTCTTGTGGGGGAGTTAACCCTTACACAATAAAAAAGGGTTGCTGCCTCTTCCTGTCCAAATTCTTTGGAAAGAGGCAGTGTCATAAATAAGGACTTCTGAAACCAAACTGTAAAGTCACATGACTCTGTGGTTTCAGACACTTTCTTCAAGAGCCCTCAGGTGAACACTACTTCAAGTACACTTTTTGACACTTTATACAGATATTTTTTTTGTAATGCTGTTTTTCAGACTTTTATTACCAAAAAAATTACATTATAATACGTATTCAAATAGTATAATACATAATAATGCACAGTAACATTTTACATTTTGAAGTGTTTTAATGCATTATATATATATATATATATACACACATATAAAGAATAGTTAACAACATACAACTTATTTGGTGTACAGTCATTTCATAACGCATTATACAGTATATAAAGAAAGCCTTATTGTACTTTTGTAATTCTGTGGATAGCTCGTTTACTTGCCCCACAACTATGAAGTACCAGGCGCAAAGTTATTTATTGCAACACTGTTGTAATGTGGCAACAACTTGCTTATGTTTTAGTCTCCTTCATTTGAAAGTCACTTTTGAAAAAATGTCTTAATGTAAATGTTTGACCAGTTCTTTAACCATGTAAGAATTACATTACTTTATATAATCATCCCTGTTCAAAGGTGTCTGCAAATATTGGCCATTTCATAAAGCACTTTAGCTCAACACAATTAAAAGAACAATATTTTTGTGGTTTATCTGAGACCACAAAAAGTTTTACAACTACTGTACCTGAAATCATTCTTACCTCTTTTGGTGTTTTTTGCCGGAAGTTTCAGTCAGGATCCAGTTAGAGTCCAGTTAAGGCTGTGTTTTTCTTCCCACTAAGGGTTTATGTAGGTCAAGCACACTGGACACTCGGTGAAAGACTGAGCATGTTTCCTTCCTTTCCTTTGTTTAATATACTGATCAGTCATGGCCAAGCTCCACCCTCAGAAAAACTCCCCTCTCTCGATGGAGATAAGACAAATACCTTGCAGCCAAGTGAAGGAGTGGCCCTCTCCTTATTGTCAAATATGCACAGGAACCCAAAGCATATATAGTAGCTGTCATTAAAAATTTAATTCATGTTAACCTTATTTTTTTTTTTACGTATGCAAACACTATGCATTTTGTGCATGTTACTTTAAATGGGGTTATTGGGGGAAAGAACTGACTGCCAGTTTTGTTCCATGGTGCATTCACAATTGCTCTCTGACATTTCAGACTGTGGTAGAGAAATGTGTCAAGCTCATGTTCAAACTTATGAAAACCTGTTCTCATGAATGATTTCATCATTGTATTTCACTAGTATTCTCTCAAGTTTGCGCACCGTTTCTGTTAATCATTTCAAATGATGTAAATATATTGCATGTGATGTCTTATCTCTGTTGGCACATCTTGCTCGACCTGAAACTTTAGGTTTTGTGGTGCAAATGTCCTTGAAGGAGGGGTAAGTATCATACATTGAGGCAGTATTACAGTACTTGACAATATATCATATACTGTACTGCTTATTCAATGTACCATTGTAAAGAACAGATTTAAGTAGAATAGATTTAAAACCACTGCCATTCAAAATTTCATGTAAGAATTTATTATAAGTCTCTTATACTTACAAAGGCTGCATTTGATTGGTCAAAAATACAGTAAAAATAGTCATGTTGTGAAATATTATCACAATTTAAAATAACTGTTTTCTATTTGAATATATTTTAAAAGGCAATTCATTCCTGTGATAAAGCTGTAACTCCAGCCTCCTGTGTTGCATGATCCTCCAGAAATCACTCCAATATGCTGATTTGCTGCTTAAGAAACATGTTGAAAACATTTGGGCTGCTTAATGAAAAGAGTTATTTGATAAAAATCAATTTAACGTGTAATAATAATAATAATTATATATATATATATATATATATATATATGTCAGGGCCGTCTCTAGTGGGGTGACGGTGGTGATGATTATAGGGGCCGACTTGCTGAGGCCAGCCTAAAAAGATCGATGCTCAGGACAGTTGACGGGCCGCTGCTGTGAATTGTCAGAAAGCTTATCATTCGCACGTGTTTTTAAGCCTTGCCAGTTTAAACATTCAAAAGAAAGACGTGGAAAAACTCGCCTGAGTATTCGCGCGCCGTGTTCGGTGCGCATGAGAGCCGCGTCTCACGGACAGCAACACCGAACCGAGCTCTCCTTCGCGTCCTCCTTCACCTGAACGAACAAATACAAATCGCAGTTTAAACATGCAAACAGAAAAAGATGTGAAAGAGCCCAATTAAGCAGTGTTCTGTGCGCACAGGGCGCATGCAGAGAGACACGTCTCAAAGCGCTTGAACACCGAATTTGCCTCTTCTTGCTCTTGAACCGATAAATACATACAACATTGTCAAAATACCCGTATTGGAGAGTATCCTCGAAAAAACAGTCGGTTTTGTCTTAAGTGAAAGTAAACGGTGGAGAAAGAAATCGGATGTGTATCATTATAATGGATGCATTGTCTCTTAAAGTGACCGCACCTAATTTACGAGCAGCTGTCGGTGTCTTTAATGTTAATCCAAGAAAATTAAAGAAAGAAAATCACTCACTGCTCTTGACTGAATTACTAATTTACTAACAAAAACTATTCAGACACCAGATATCATTTTTGATATTGTTTTACTAGAGGGTGCAGGACACTATAGTTCATTTATGTAAGCGAGTATAGCAAAATGAAGTAAACTGTGACATATTATACCCAAAAATTCTTCATACATTGGACTACCAGTAAAACTGATAAACAAATTGGGACCAAAAAGTATTCAGACACTTTGACCTGACCATGTTTTGCTTAAGTGTTTCTTCTTTAATTGCTAATGTGACCTTTTTACACCACCGACTGAACAAAATTAAGCATTGCTTAGTAATTGATCAACAAAGTATTGATAGTTGTGTAAATATTGTCATACTAACAGTTGTCTGAATTTTTGGTTGATTGTAATCCATTACATACCTTTCTATCAAAGTTATCTGACATGATCAATATGAATTTGTTCTGACAGAGTTTAACTCTGAGTTCTTGTCATATTTTATTACCATTTTCTAAACTATAGCAAATAAACTGTTATAAATTGAGAAATGTTGAAGGTGTCTGAATACATTTTGGTCAGACTGTATATTTAATTTTTACAGTTAAGACTATGCAGTGCTATTTTACATTTGATTATTGTGTGTTTCTGTACTGGACACCTACAAACTTAAAACTTAAACATTGTGTAAATAGCACAAATAAATAAATAGAACAAACATTAAAATTAAACTATTTCAAACAGGGGCCACTGGTACAACCTGCTCTGGGGCCCCACTGGGGGGTTAGGGGGGTTTGTGGTGGGTAAACACACTACTGCCCTTTTGTCACTACCGAGACAATGATGACATGTTTCGGTTGTGACTGTTTCAGTAGTGACAATTTGAGATACTTTTGAACCTAGCTCAAAGATGCTAATCAGCACATGGTTAGCTAACACAGTTCTGGAGAGTGGTACACATAAAAACTAAATGTTATGGAATAACTCCCAAAAAAGTGTTCTTAATTGCAGATAAAAGGTGTTCGGTAGTGGCATTCCTTAAAGTTACACAGAATTTTCAGGCTTTTGAACACTTTTACCTCAAAATGAGGGGACCTGTCTCAAACCTTAAGAGAGAGGGGGACACAGGAATTTTTTCCTGATCATAAATTTAAGGGTGTAGTTAAAATCAATCTCGGCCAATAGACAATAAGATTTGAATACTTAAATGCTTTTTAAATAGGGATGCACCGATATGAAAATTTTGGCCGATACCGATAACCGATTATTCTTTATTTTTGAAAGCCGATAATGGGACAGCAGTTTGCACCAATTCTGTAGAATGGCCCATATATATGTGTGTTTATGTATATATTAGATATACTCTCTCTCTCTCTCTCTCTCTCTCTATATATATATATATATATATATATGTGTGTGTGTATATACAGTATGTGTATGCACACACTATACAGACATTGATAGATGTAAACATGTTACAATAGTAGACACTGAACTTTGTGGTCACAATAATGAATATAGGACTACTGATATAAACTTGTAATTTATGTGTGTGTGTGTGTGTGTGTGTGTGTTTGTGTGTGCTGCTATGTACTGTATGTACATTAAGTATATTAAGACTTAATTTATTTTTTGTTTTATTGAAGGAAATTTTTTGCTAATGCCTTAGTTGAGATATGAACACTGACAACATTTTATTTTTAACTTAGTTGCTTATAAAATAACTTTCATAAGGGCTTTATATAAGAAGTGTTTTTTTTCTGACCTATTTTTTAAGCCAAACTTCAGCTGAACTTCACAAGCAAATGTAAGCAGGAGTTAATCCCCAAAACCCTCCTGCATGTTTCTCAATACATGTTGCTGACATGAAAATATTTGCATATTAAAGACAGGATCATGTTGCTAAATTGACAGATCAGGCTAAGCAGAAATCCTTGAGGCTAAACTCTGGGCATGTCTGCCAAACCCACATCGCCCCTCCTCTTGTCACTTTCTGTTGTTGAAGCCGTTACAGGCAGCGTGTTGTAGCTGTTCCAGACTTCTCAAGTATTTTAAATTCCTCATCTTTCAGTGAAGATGGCTTGGTATGTTGACTTGCCCACACAGCTGCAGACAAGGTTATGGAAGACTGCATTGTACTGCATGCTAAGTCTTATCTCTGAGTCTTGGTGAAGACACTTTCAGTGGGCATAAAATGAGATCCTGCTCTACCTGTCGCTCTTGGTTTTTGGATAAACATACCTCGAAGAAAGCAAAGATTACAAGTTAAGATGGACAGACCATTCATTAATAATGTCATACATTTTTGGTTTCTGATAAACACTCTATTAACTAGTCCTGACTAAGCAGTTTCTGCACAGATCTGTGAGGCATTTATGGAAATTAATAAAAGGAATCATTCTGCATTGTTGCAATTCATGCTGAACTAAGCTGCAATAATAATAATAAAAGCGGTGTATATATGTGCAAGCACCGAATTCATCATAAACAACAAAGATGCAGTGTAAGAGATTAATTGTGCAGTGTAGTCAGATTTTTTGTTAACGGGAGTTTTTGCGAGATTAAACTGACCTTTTTTAGTAGCCTAATGTTGAGTTCTTTACTCGCTTTCAGTAGCCTACACATTTTATTCCATATTGTTTTTTTTATTCATTTTATTTTACAAGAGAACTTGCGAAATCTTGATTTAGGCCTACTACTAATGTGTAAAATAGAAAAAAATTAAATAAAAAGTGCATAAACGCATCTCCGACTGTTTTGTCTGTGTAGCCTATAAAATGTCGTGCAATAACGGTTTAAATATATTCTATTCAATAACGTTGTTTTTATTGATAACATCTGCCAGAAAACAGCACCACCATTTAACCTTGGGTCAAATTTGACCTTCACGGCAATTAAATGAAACTTTTTTTTTTTTTTTTACAGAATGAGGCATTTTCTTTTCCAGCATGACAATAGGGCACAATTGACCAAATCTGGATGCAAAACAACCAAACCTAATTTCATAGCATCGGTGCCTGACCTCACTGGAAGCAAATGAGTGGAAAACCTTCCGGAGGTATAAAGCAATTATAGCAGCAATGGCAAGATTAATGCCCTTTGTTTCGAAATGAAATCTTGCACATCTGGGTGTGGTGTTCTGGGGCCTCATTTATAAAATGTGCACAGATTTGATCTTAGAGTGTGCGTACGTTAAAATCCACGGCAACGTTCAGATTTATAAAAACAGTCTTTTTGACGTGGAAAAGTACGCTACTTACCGCCACGTCGGGGTCCGAGCAGGCGTATGCACTTTACCTTGTGGCAAAGTCGGAGTA